CGACGCCGATCTACGCCGGATCCGCGCTGTCTCGTCGACCACCAGACTCTAGCGCACGCGAATGCACTCAAAGGACGGAATGACGAGGACGCACATGGCTGTCATGATTTACCACCGAGACCCTCATGACGACCCAGAACGGCTCCCGAGAGGACTCCAAGCGGCCCCCAACAGGCTCTGGAGGGGGCCCCCTGCGACACCCCAGCGAGCAGCCTGGAGGCATGTGATACGTTTTTTTTTTTAGCCGCGCTCCATAGGCTGCGTGGCCCGCTCCAGCCAGCTCCGCGCGGCGCCCTCCAGCGACGCCTCCAGGCTTGCCCAGACCCGCTGGTGGAAGGCGTCGAGCCACTCCACCTCCTCCCTGGAAAGCAGCTGGAGATCGATGAGCTTCCTGCAGAAGGGCACCTGCGTCAGGTACTCGAACTTCAGGAAAGGCCGCCCTCCCATGCTCTCGACGGTGTCGGCGGGCACGACCACCAGATCTGCCTCAAGGCGGACGCCGAACTCGCCGTCCTTGTAGCAGCCGGGCTCGTCCGACACGAAGTGCCCAGCGTGGAAAGGCTCCAGGTAGATCCTCTTCATGCGCTCGCTGCCCTTGATGGTCCCGCCGGGGACGCTGCCGCCTCCGATGCCCATCGGGCCCTCGTGCACGTTGAGGTACGCGCCGATGCCGTGGCCGGTACCGTGACCGTACTGCAGGCCGTCGCGCCACAGCGGCCCTCTGGCCAGCATGTCCAGCATCAGCCCCGGCGTGCCGTCGGGGAACACGGCCCGCGCCAGGGCGATGTGCCCCTGCAGCACGCGCGTGTAGGTGCGCTGCTGGTCGGCCGTCGGGCTGCCATGGTGCACAGTCCGCGTCACGTCCGTGGTGCCGTCGCTGTACTGCGCGCCTGTGTCGACCAGGTACACGGCATCGCGGGAGAGCGTGCTGCAGGCACCCGGCTGCGGCTGGTAGTGGACCTTGGCGCTGTTCGGCCCCGCGGAGGAGATGGTCGGGAAGCTGTCGCCGACGTACAGGGGCTGCTTCCGCCGCAGCTCGGTGATCTGCTCCGCCGCGGCCACCTCTGTGAGCGGCGCGCTGTCCGGGGCGGCAAGGTGCTGCTCCAGGCCCGCCAGGAACTGGCACAGCACCAGGGAGTCCCGCCGGCACGCACGCCGGAGCCCCTCGATCTCCTTCTCGTTCTTGATGGCCTTGAACTCCTCCACTGGGGAGCGGCCGAGGAGCCGGCGCTCCGCGGGCACCAGCTCGAGAACGGCCATGGAGGAGGCGGCGTCGATGAGCACCCGCTTCCCCGACAGCATGCCCGGCGCCAGCTCGAAGAAACTGCCGTACGCCGCGACCTCGGCGCCGGCCTCCGCGAGCGCGGCGCGGGCCGGCGCCGGCAGGCCTCCGCGGCCAGGGTCCTCGGGGCGCACGAAGACGCAGCAGCGGTCCTCGGTGACCAGCGCGTATGAGAAGAAGACGGGGTTGCAGTCGATGTCTGAGCCGCGCAGGTTGAACAGCCAGGCCACCTGGTCCAGGGCGCTCACGACGAGGGCGCCGGCCCCCTGCTTGGTCAGGGACTCCCGCACACGCCGGATCTTGCTGGCGGCGGTCTCGCCAGCGTACTCCACGGGGTGCACCGCGATCTCCCGGCACGGGTCCTCGGGCCGGCCAGCCCAGATGGCGTCGACGAGGTTCTGCGAGACGGGCCTCAGCTCCACGGCCGGGCCCCACAGCGCCCTCCACTCCTGCGCGGTCTCCGCAGACACCAGGGCGGGGTCGCACCCGAGCGCCTTCCCGGAGAGGTTCGACGCCACCCAGTGCTTCAGCTCCGGCACTCCCGGCGTGTGCGTGCGCATCAGGACCCACTCCGTGCCCCTGAGGCGCTCCTCTGCCTCCAGGAAGTAGCGCGAGTCCGTCCACAGGAGGGCCTGGGAGGCCGTCACCATCGCCGTGCCCGCGCTGCCCGCAAAGCCGGTGAGGAAGGACCGGCGCTCGTCGGCCCTCGCGATGTACTCGGAGGTGTGGGCGTCCTGGCTGAGCACCACGTAGGCGTCAAGGCTGTACGCCGCCATCAGCGCTCGCAGGCCGGCCAGCTTCTTCGCGGCATCCTCGGGCTCGCAGGAGTCGCAGAACGGCGTGCCGGGCCTGTAGCAGCACGGGCACGCCAGCTGCAGCCCGAGGTCCAGCGCCGGCCGCTTGCGCCTCGCGCCGCGCGCCGCTGGCGGCGGCGCGGCGGGCGGCGGCGCGGCGGGCGGCGGTGCCGCGGGCGCCGCCATGGCTGCTCTCGGCGGCCCTCCGCCCTCTATAGCGCCGCCGGCCGGGGCGAGCCGGGCGGACCAGCCGGGGCGGCCGCCGGGCTCGAGGGGCAGACACGCGGCCCCCGAGAGAAGGGAGGTGCGGCGGCAGGGCCGGGGCGCCCCCCCCCCACCGCACGGAGGCGGCCCGTCGAGGCTGCGAACAAGGCGCATGGGCTTCAGCCATGTGTGTGCAGATATACGTGTATACATCTACATCTAGATATACACTATGCATATGCACGTATACATATATATACATATAGGCATATATATATATATATATATATATATATATACAAGTGGCACGTGTGCCATGGCTCTTGCACAAAAAGGAAGGGGGAGGAGGAGGATGTGGAGGAGGAGGGGGGCGCGGGGGGGCGCTGAGACGGCGCGGGGGAGGGGGCGGAGCGGGGGGGGTGCGGTGCCGAAATAAAATGGTCGGGGCGGAGGGGGCGCTGGGCGGGCGCTGGAGCCGCGGGGGCGCTGAGACGGCGCGGGGGAGGGGGCGGAGCGGGGGGGGGGTGCGGCGCCGAAATAAAGGGGTCGGGGCGGAGGGGGCACTGGGCGAGCGCAGGAGCCGCGCGGGGGCGCTGAGACGGCGCGGGGGAGGGGGCGGAGCGGGGGGGGGTGCGGTGCCGAAATAAAGTGGTCGTGGCGGAGGGGGCACTGGGCGGGCGCTGGAGCCGCGCGGGGGCGCTGAGACGGCGCGGGGGAGGGGGCGGAGCGGGGAGGGGGGGGTGCGGTGCCGAAATAAAGTGGTCGGGGCGGAGGAGGCACTGGGCGGGCGCTGGAGCCGCGCGGGGGCGCTGAGACGGCGCGGGGGAGGGGGCGGAGCGGGGGGGTGCGGTGCCGAAATAAAGTGGTCGGGGCGGAGGAGGCACTGGGCGGGCGCTGGAGCCGCGGGGGGGCGCTGAGACGGCGCGGGGGAGGGGGCGGAGCGGGGGGGGGTGCGGTGCCGAAATAAAGTGGTCGAGGCGGAGGGGGCACTGGGCGGGCGCTGGAGCCGCGGGGGGGCGCTGAGACGGCGCGGGGGAGGGGGCGGAGCGGGGGGGGGTGCGGTGCCGAAATAAAGTGGTCGGGGCGGAGGGGGCACTGGGCGGGCGCTGGAGCCGCGGGAGGGCGCTGAGACGGAGGGGGCGCATGATGATGATGATGTGGATGATGATGATGATGATGATGGTGATTATGATGGTGATGATGGTGAGGATGATGGTGATGATGATGATGATGATGATGATGATGATGATGATGATGATGATGATGATGATGATGATGATGAAGGGGGGGGTGCGGTGCCGAAATAAAGTGGTCGGAGCTCTAGACACCCTGTGCAAGAGAATACATATATGCATGGCTACATATATATATATATGTGTAGCCATGCGTATGTACATACATACATACATACATACATACATACATACATACGTACATACATACATACATACATACATACATACATACATACATACATACATACTTACGTACTTACTTACATACATACATACATGCATACATACATACATACATACATACATACATACATACATGCATACACACACACCTACCTACCTACCTACCTACCTGCCTGCCTGTCTACCTACCTACCTACCTACCTACATACATACATACATACATACATACATGCATACATAACTATCTATATACCTACATACATACATATATACATGCATACATACATATGTGTATGTAACCCGAGGAAGTTACAATCGCAGCGATACACATATACATATAATATAACAATAACAACGATTGTAATAATAACAGTAGTAGTAGTAGTAATAATATTTTCGTTATCTCTGTATAGCCTCGGAGGCAAGCAATCTAGCCGTATCCCCGCTCTGGCTCCTCGTGGGTTCAGGGCGCGCGAGCAGGTGCACGGATGGAATCCATCGGCGAAGCGCCCCGGGGCAGACGGAACAGAGAGCAGGGGGCGCGAGAGTGCGGGAGCGGTGCAGCGGGCAAACCGATCGCTGGTGAATAGACGAGCGCGTTCCTCTACTCGCATAATAAAACTATACGCAAATGGCCTGGACCCGCCGCGGGGGCGGGGGATCTACGGTAAATTGCGTCGAAACCAAGATATGTTGTTCGGACGTTTGCGAGCGGTCACTTTGCGAGTAGTGGAACGCGCTCGATGAGTGAACACGTCCTGTGCTCTCTCGTGCCCGCTGGCTCTGAAGTGCTGCAGCAAATAGCGCCATCAGAGCACATGCTGGCACAGCACAAACATCAGGGTGGCAACCAATTCAAAAACACCCTCTTGTTTGGGGAGTCTCGTCCGCTTGACCGTTCCGAAGACTATCGGCCATGACCTCGGAAAGGACGATGTGCGCGATGCTTCTGCATGGCCGTCTAAAACGACGGGGTGGCCACGGGCATGGCAATTCCTTTCCAATGGCGATCTTCAACTGTTCCCGCGTTCGAAGGTTAGGAAGCGCGAAAACCATAAATCATGACGAAGGTGAAAGCGTGGAGATCAACAAAATGCTCGAGGAACAAATCCATCTGACTGTACCCAGTGCATGTGTGTGGCAAGTCACGATGTCCTTTTAATTGCATGATCGTTTTGAGGGCAGCATTCAGCGCCGCGAGCAATGTGTGGGCATTGTGAGCAAGTCGTCGCGTACAACTTCGAAAACCAAAACAAAACATCGTCACACCAGCACGATACAGTCTGCTCAACGACGCTGGGTATACATGACGCACACATGACAATGATCAGTGGCATGGCCGCCCTGTGTAGCCACCTCTGCTGGCCGCTGGTCAGAACTACAACAGGCAACGATACTGAAAAACGCGCGCGTTCGACAAGCGCGAAGAGCTGCCACCAAAAACTCAGAAACCTCGAACTTCGAGTTGACGATGAAACGTGTGCTGATTGTGAAATAATGCGAATGGGCCGATACCCAACACAACATGTTGCCCCAACGCGACACGACCACTATTGGGCGGGCGCTTCTCGCTGCAAACGGACGGAGTCCGCGAAGATCCCACCACGAAGCCTGTTCCACTGTCGGTCGTCGTCTCCACGATTTCCTTCCTTCCCCTCATTTCCCCGCAGCGCGGCACCCGGGGGCGTCCAAGAGGGGGGCCTCCGAAAGGGGGGCGTCCAAAAAAGGAAGGGGGGCGTCCGAGAGGGGGGCGTCCAAGAGGGGGACGAGCCTCCGTCCTCATCACTTACAAGATGGCCCCGCTTGAAAGATCAGCACCACCCCGTGGGCCTGCCATCCGGGCAACAGCCCCGTATACGAGGAGGAAAAGGAGGAGAAGGAGGAGGGAAGGAGGAGGAGGAGGAGGAGGAGGAGGAAGAGGAGGAGGAGGAGCAGAGGAGGAGGAGGAGGAGGAGAAGGAGGAGGAGGAGGAGGAGGAGGAGGGAGGAGCAGAGGGGGGGGGAGGGGGAGCAAGAGGAGGAGGAGGAGGAGGGAGGAGGAGGAGGAGGAGGAGGAGGAGGAGGAGGAGGAGGACCCATGGACGCCCCCGAAGCACGCAGGCCCTTTCCAGAGCCCGTCCGGGACCCGCACCCCCCGCGCGGAGCCGTACAGGCTGTTGCGGAGCGCGCCGTAGACAGGCTCGTCCCGCAGCCCGGGGTAGCAACCCACGCGCAGCCTCGGCAGGAGGAGGAGGAGGAGGAGGACGAGGAGGGAGGAGGAGGAGGAAAAGGAGGAGGAGGAGGAGGGGGAGCAGGAGGAAGAGGAGGAGCGTGAGCGCGGCCTGGCCCGGCGTACAGTCACCCTGGCGCAGCGATGTCCTGGATGTGCGCGCCAGCCACGCCATTTCGGGCCGAAGTCTTTTATTCGTCGCTGACCGTGGCGTTTCTCGCACCAGGGAGGGCTTGCTGGGGCGTTCCTGCGGCAACGGATGAACGCGGTTCGGGAAATTGGCCAGGATGGACCACGGGAGGAGTCTGGAGAACCGTTCTGACGTGTTTTTCGTCGTCGCCTCCGCCGTCGATGAGACGGGATCGCCGATGGAACCGTACAGTTAGCGCCCGCGACGTTTATCAAGCATGAAGATACGGCAGTGCTCAAAAATAACATACACGTAAAGTGCAGCAAGAGATGATGCAATCCAGCTTGCTGCGGAAGCCGATCATACCCACCCACCCAGGCGATCGTAAAGCACGAAGAATCATTAGAACCCCACTGCGCCCGAACAACCCCACGTTGCCCAAGAAGGCCGTGGTTTCACCCTCTGCTCCGATTGTTGACGCACCTGCAATCCGAAGGCCGTGCAAGCTGATGAAACCTCTCAAACGTCTGCGCAAGTTGATGGCCTCACGTGCGAATCTGCATAATTGCGCTGACGAGCATTAGCGCGCGAAAATACATATTATTGACAACATTCGATGTACGCTTATACGTTTCCGGAAAAAAAAAGGGTTCCGCATGTGTTGGAGATATCGATCTTGAAGTGCTTGACAAGAACTGCTCGCGCGCGAATCCGCATGTGGCCCGCATGTTAAGATGGCATACAAGTTCTCAACCAATACCAGGATGTTCCAACTGCATGATATGTTTTCCAGTGGTTTGTGCCAGGGCTGTATACGGCGGATCACCGACATGAATCAAGTCAAAGATAGGATGGGCATGGATGTCTCGAAACATATGACAACACAGAATGGCAACAGGGTCTGCTCGGATCCCGCTCGGCATGGCTCACACGGAGTCACGGCATTGGAGCTGTAGTGTCTCTCGAATACTCAAAAGAATATGATCATTCTCATCGTCCGCGCACCCCTGGCGCTGCTACTTCCTTTCCGTCTACTACTGAGGATAAGAAGAAGAACGGATGAGGGGGGCGTGCAGAGGAGAAGGAGGAGGACGACGACGACGACGGTCGCACCGCCGATTCCAAAACAGCAGTCACCCTACGCCGCGCAGACACAGTCTGGGGTCCACGCAGCACCCGACTCCCCAAAGACTGCTTGCACTTACGTGGACCCTCTTTGGAGCTCCATATGTCGCCATTTGTTTCTCTCAGGGCTCTCATTGGGACAGTCACCTTCGCGATCTGCACAGGCCTAACTCCGGCCTGCGCCCCGCCTCAAGATGTCTGGAACCACAGGGTCCACGACGACCCACCGCTGCCCGCGGAGATCGGCAAGATCTCCGCGCGAACGTTTGTCGACGGGATTATATGCGGAGGCCACACGCTCCCACCACGAGTAAATAAATATAAACCTGCACTCTTCCCAAGTAGCGTGCACGATCTCGTTCGTGCGAACGGGCCTCGACGAACTCTTGATCGAGGAGTACTTCGCGGATTCGTTGTCGACGAAGTGAAACCACACACACACACACACACACACACGCGCAATAACGCCGGCCAGGTGGCCAACGCTAGCAGGGGGCCCACCACCTCGATCTCCTGGACGGCGTTCACACGGTCGTGCCCGAGCCCCGCATCATCCAGGGCTCTGGCACCGCAGTGGCGGTGAACACTGGCCGAAAGACTGGGCCGCGCGGCTTCCGGACGCCCGCTGCCACTCGCCCCGCGCCTTCCCCGTCGCTCACCGTTACAACGAGGGGCCACGATCCGAGGTCGAAATCGACTTCTCGGCCTGACTGCTCGCGCAGAGCGCGCCGGAACCAGCGCAGCGAAGCACTGATGGAACCCGGCAAGTCCGCCCCCCCGCTGCCATCGACTGTCGACGCCTCAATGGCACCAGCGCTGCGGAACCGCAACGGCCAAATATAAACGAGCGCGCCCACCCCAACCGGTCTCCGAGGAGGCCCGCCTCTGCAGCAGGCAGCCAGCCGCTCTGCAGGCAGTAGTCGATGTCTCCAAGCAGCGCGGCTGCTCTCTGATCGAGCAACCGAGCGACAGGCCGAGGGATGTCTACCACGAGTTCCGCCCCGAGCAGTTGCCGCGCGCCAGCTGGCAGAGGCGACTTCTGATCGTCGGGCCTCCACCCAAATCTGCTCGCGCAGCCGGGCCCAACAGAGCGGCGCGCAGGGCGCTGTGCAGGCCCGCTCCACGCACCGGGAGTCGTCGCTGTAGCGACGCATTGGAATGACCAAAAAATCCTCGCCACGGCGCACATCGCCGCCGGGACCTTGACGCAGTTAAGCTGCGATCCAGCGCCCCCGAACACTTGTCCCAAATTGCGCGGGAAGACTGGCTCGAGACGCCCAGGGTGCCGCGCCACCGACCACATCCACTGCATCTGCTCTGGGGCCCGAGGACTCTGGCGGACAGCGCCGCTGCGAGCGGTTGCGATGCCAACGACGGGTTCTCCATCACGCCAGTGCTCCTTCGAGAAGCGCGCTGCGGCTCGAGCCGCATCCACGTCGTCTGGCGCGCACGCCTCCGTCGCGTGACGGTTGCACGTGCGCCACTGGATTTGAGGTTCTCGATGTTGCGCGCCATCCGGGCGCCCGATGGCCCGCGATCCCACGCCGGGAAACTGTGGCGCACCGCCACGTCAGCGAGGTCCACGTCCGAGACAGAGAGTGGCCCCTCAACAGCTCCAGCGGCAATTTCTTACTCGCGTTTTGACCACGCTGCCTGGTCCAAGGCGGCGTCGCCCGAGCCCCCGACGCCGACGACGATGCGGCGGTTCCTCTCGGGGGCCTCTTTGACCCAGCCCTGCAGATCGACCGACGCCACAGACTCGGCCGCTCTCCAGAGGCCTGCAGGCTGGATTGCACCCAGAGCCGACCGCCCGGCGCACATGGACTCGAAGTACGTCTTGTCTGGGCGCCCAGACACGCCAACCAGCTTCTGCAGGAAAGAGCCGCGCAGACAGCCGACTACCCAGCGCACGTCGGGATGCAAAGCGGCGGCCCAAGCCACCCTCTCGGGTTTCTGATATTTCGCCTATTCTGAAATGAGCGCGCAAGCTTGCAAGCTGTTTCTCTTCACCAACTCCACATCGGCAGCTCGCCTCCGGTTCGCTTCCTCCACCGAAGCGCGCAAGGTGGGAAGGGCGCACCTCGGGCGTTCCAAGGTGGTCACTCGTTTCAAGAACCCCCGAAGCCCAACGCCTTCCGGCATCAGAAGCGCCGCACTGGCTTTCCGCGGCTTCAGGCCGCCAGCAATCGCGCGGCCCGCGCGAGCCATTACCGGCGCGTCACGAGCGCCACCAAAGACCACCCCGCGCCCCCCTCAGACGCTCTGCGCGCGGCGCAGAAGCACCTTCACTCCAACATCGCTGGCCCCTCTTCAACGAAGGCGAGCGCCCCCTCTCACCGGGGGATCACGGATGGAACTCATTATCGCACGCTGGGTGCTCACCCCCGCGCCCCATAGACGTTGCAGGCGCGCTTGAACTTGCACCGCCCCTCGCAATTGCACTTGCCGTTGTTGTAGAAAGCGCAGAATTACTTGCCCGAGCTGTCGGCCACGACCGTCTCGAGGGCCGCGCGAGCCTTCTTAGCTGGCGCAGGAGCCCCGTCGCCCTTGCTGCCAGCGGCGGCCCGGTCAGCGTGGAGCTCTGCGAACAGGGCGACCCACTCGGTCCTGCCCTCCTTCCCGGCCTCCATGAGCGCTTTGCTGTCGTTGCGCACGGCGTCCACCCACTTCCCGTGCATCTGCTGGTCTGCGCGCCTCACGGCCTCCACGCTGGGAACGCGCCCGTTCTTCTTCTCGTACACCTTGCGCAGAACCCAATCGTGGTAGTCCGACAACACCGACCACTCCAATGCCGCCCTAGTCTGGCGCGGCGGCCCACGCCATCGCGTTCTTGAAGACGCGGTGCTTGTAGGTGAACGCGTGGGCCGACACGTTGGCGCCCTCGGGCCTGCACTGCGCAGTGTCGTTGTCAAGGGCGCGCACCTTCCTGAGGTCGTGCACCGTGGGGGCCTTGCGCTCGTGCTCGCGCACCAATCGCCCCATCAGCGCATGGTTTCCCAGAAAGTGGGCTGGCAGACGGATGTGGTAGCACTCCACAACCGTGTTTGTCTTTTTGGCTCGCACCTCTGGGCCCACTGGGTCGTCCCAGTCGCCGAACTTGCCCGTCTGGATGAGTTCCAACCCACCAATTACCAGGGTTTCGGCCTCTTGCCACGCAGCCTCTACCCGCTGGCACAGCGGCCTGTCCGACGCATCCAACCCCGCAGGGGTACAAATGCCTTCGCCGACGTCGGCCTTCGAGTCCGCTAGGCCGGCGAACCTGCAGATTGTTACCATTTGCTATTTTTCAAGTACTGAAAAGCCTTTTCGTCGACACCGTGTTTGCGAAGGAGTTTGTCCAGCCGAGCGTCCACGTCCAACGCCATGCTTGGCCTGAGGAGGTTTGCTCGTATGGGCTGAAAATTGCGTTGCGTTTGGGCCCGTTGTGTTCGAGCCACAACGGCTCCGGACAGTTTCGGTTGACGGGCCCGCAGCAACAAAAGTAACGATGCATACGGGGGTTTGGATTTTCCTCCCCAACGCGCATGCGTGCGTAAATCTCTGGCACGGAACCAACCTGCGCATGGGACATCAGACGCGTTGTAATATACCATGTTTCCCTGGAGGCGTCAACCTCGAACGGCCTGCCCCAAGCACCTTTTTTGTTGCTTGACCGTGTCTCGCGGCCGGGAGAGGGCGCCTTACCTCACCCTGCTGAGGAAAGTGGATGCTTCAACCTTGAACGGCCCGCCCCAGACACCCCCCCTTGACCG